AACAATCGTCTTATGCAATTTATATATTTATATCCCTTTTATTTGTCCATTCAGCTCGAAAGCGAGTACATGGACGCGCCACGTACAATGGACTCCGGTCGTACCTACCATCGGCGGAACAAACTCGCAAAACCGAGCGCGTAATGTATGTACATTAGGAATCGATTTCTCGATACGTAAACAGGGAGATCCGAGGGAAGGTGGCGGTGAGGTTGAAAGAGGAGCGGGTTATACACTTCCGTGCCTTTAGCGATGCACTCCCAGGAATTCATTCCCCACAATGAATTCGAATAAGGCCGGCGCTCTACTTTCCATTTTCTAGGTGCACCCCCGAATATGTTAAGGGCGGTCGCCCCCCGAGAATTTCTGGCTCAAGTCTCAATTACACGCAGATTGCATTATCTGCGGAAAGGATACGCTACACAGAGACCATTCGTCCTCGGAAATTGAATGCACCGTGGGCTACCTACCTCAATCCAATTAAAGTCCCCGAGAATGAAAAATATTTTCGACGACGATTGCTTTGCCTTTTTTTTTCTCTCTTTTTTTTTCGGTACCAATTTTTCAACATTTCCGATCCAGGGAGAAATAGAGAAGCGAAGCTCGATAAATTTCAAACGCGCTTCGACTGTAGTGCTTATCAAAATGGAGCGGATAAGAGCTATAGTGTCCGTATATACGTCGAACCGTTCAGAGGCCGAATTTTCTGTCTCTAAACTTTTTCCGGAAGTACGGAAGGGTGCGCATTAATTTTTTCTTTATACGGGAGATTTAAGCGGCGCGCGGAGGGAGAAAAGGAGGATCTATTAAATTTACAAAAAAAATCTGTCAAGTGTACAGATTTTATCAGGTACGAACCCCTTACATACAAATGAAACGGAATTTAATGCGTACGATGAATACTATTTAATTTCGCCGGTGACAGTTCTTGACGTCTCGGTGCGCCTTCATATCACGACCGTCGACTAAAGTCGACGCTCGGCTGTGCGCCTTCATATCACGACCGTCGACTAAAGTCGACGCTCGGCTGTGCGCCTTCATATCACGACCGTCGACTAAAGTCGACACTCGGCTGTGCGCCTTCATATCACGGCCGTCGACTAAAGTCGACGCTCGGCTGTGCACCTTCATATCCCGGCCGTCGACTAAAGTCGACGCTCGGCTGTGCGCCTCCATATCCCGGCCGTCGACTAAAGTCGACGCTCGGCTCTGCGCCCTCATATCACGACCGTCGACTAAAGTCGACGCTCGGCTGTGCGCCTTCATATCACGGCCGTCGACTAAAGTCGACGCTCGGCTGTGCGCCTTCATATCACGGCCGTCGGCTAAAGTCGACGCTCGGCTGTGCGCCTTCATATCACGGCCGTCGACTAAAGTCGACGCTCGGCTGTGCGCGTTCATCTGTGGCCGTCGACTATAGTCGACGCTCGTACCGAAGTGGTTAATGAAATTCCCTTCTAGTCGGCGAGTCGCCGAATTGAACTGTACGTGGGGGTGGTGGGTGGTAGTAGTTGGGCAAAGTGCCGGGAATTTACGGGCGCTAATGTCGCGACCTGTATCCCGGTGACGGCATTAATTAGGCGTCGACAAGCACAACCGAAAACGACGTCGACGGCAGGGCGTCGTTATAAATCGCTCCTTTTGAAAACCGAACCCACCCACTCCCCCGTGCCGTGTAACCCCTTCGTCGGTGCACCACGCAAGAGTGCATTCGAACTGAAAGCTCGGTGCTTGCAAGCTGGGAAGGTGAAAAGAGAAGGCGGGAAGGAAGGGTAGCTCGCTCACCGCCGCGACCCGGACCTACGACAATCTAACCTGCCTTTCTCGCAATTCCGAGGGGAGTGCATCTTTTCTTCTTCCCCCTTTTCGCCCCTTTTCTCGTTAATTACTTCTTGACACGGCCTTCGATCGCGGCTTTTAAAGTATGAAACGATTCGAGACACCCAGTTCATAACAAAGTTTTATGAACGATTGAGCTTCCGGATGCCACTTTCACATCCCCTTAAGGTACGAAAAGGAAAACGTGATATAAAGCATGATATATACAATGTGATATTTTTTAGCCCGATAAAGACTAGCGGCCCCGCAAGCAGATAACTTTTAATTAGAAAATTTCATCGTGGAGGCGCTCTAGAAACTAGATAAGAAAAATCTGAAGATCTTCTACCCCCTAAAGTGGTGACGACTTCGATACATGGCATTGTACAATATCTCCTTATCCTACTTCGCGCCTCCACCCTCACTTGTCTCCTTCATTTTTATCACCTCTAGAGGTGCCTCCACACATCGCCATTATCTTATACGGTGTACAGAGTCCCGGCATGCCGCAATTACTTTTTCTTTTTCACCTCAAGCGATGCTCACTTCATGCCTTTCTCGCGTCGCGTACAATCTCCCCCGAGGGGTTAAGCAGAACATGTCGAGGTCGCGTTGAAAAGGGGCGCAATTTTCCTTTTCGCATCATTACCCCGGATAAAGGACCTCGGTGTCTCAATTAATGACCACCTCGATTATAAAGCGATTTCAACGCTCTCCATTGACCGGGAAGCGCAAACAAATGGAACACGGTCGCGTGAAATTTGCAAATTTCGACCCAGTTTTTTCTCCTTGTTTTTTATTCATTTTTTTTTTATTTCCTATTCAATGTCGATCGATCGACTGAAAATATCCCGCGACATCACTTTCGCACTCCCCTTTTTATTTCGATAAATTTGACAGGAAAAAAATATCCTGGGCGTGTGGCGTCTTCTACGTCACTTTCGCGTTCGCTTTTTATTCGGATAAATTTCCCTATGATTGCATATCGCGATCCCTAGGGATATCGGTGCCTTTCCACCTGTCGATTGCAGACACACGCGTCATATCTCGCCTGATGGACATCTACCTTACATTTGACGGATGCATTAACCCCATCGCGTCGACGAAATCGCAATATAACGCGACTCGTGGCGCTCGTAGAATGAACCGACCGATCTGTCAAAATTTCCGCCTTTCTTTCATTTAAGGTGACGTGAAAAAAAAATATATACATATACACCAAACAGTCAAAATATATATAAAACTTTTCTCCAAACTGTGTGGACCAAATTATCTTAAACTTTAACATGTGAATATGGAGGCTATTAGATAGGTCCTGACACCCATAAAAATGCTTTTTTTAAATTTGAACAATGTTTTTAAATTTCTTAATGTATTCATTCGGGTATGAAATTCGGATATAGTAAAGCTTCCCACATTTTAGTTCATCATTCAAGTTCTCTACGCGAGAATATTTTCCTTTATTAATCCCGGAAATCAATCGAATTGTGATGGAAATTCTGCCAATACGTCATGTATACAGGTTCCTCTCCTCCGAGTAGAAAGTATGCACCGAGCAGTGTACTAACAATAAATGCATCGAGATCAACTAATTAATTTCTCCTAAAAAGCAATGTATCTGAGATTTCTAATCAGTTCTCCCCGTGAGAATTATTTCCCTCTATTATCGCGGAAATCAATCGAATCGTGATGGAAATTCTGCCTATCCGTCATATATACAGGTTCCTCTCCTTCGAGCTGAGAGTATGCACCGAGCAGGGGTGCATACACGCATGCACCTAGCATGTACTAACAATGAGTGTACCAAGATCAAATAATTAATTTCTCCCCAGGTTTTCCACGTGAGAATATTTCCCTCTATTATCGCGGAAATCAATCGAATCGTGACGATAATTCTGCCAATGCGTTATGTATACAGGTTCCTCTCCTCCGAGTAGAAAGTATGCACCGAGCAGTGTACTAACAATAAATGCATCGAGATCAACTAATTAATTTCTCCTGAAAAGCAATGTATCTGAGATTTCTAATCAGTTCTCCCCGTGAGAATTATTTCCCTCTATTATCACGGAAATCAATCGAATCGTGATGGAAATTCTGCCTATCCGTCATATATACAAGTTCCTCTCCTTCGAGCTGAGAGTATGCACCGAGGTCCATACACACATGCACCTGGTGTACCAACAATGAGTGCACCGAGATCCCCTACACAAACGCATAGCGGCGTCGAGGCCGGGCTCGAAATCGCCTGGGAAAGGAATAAGTGCTTTTTTATTCCCTCTGCCCATTTCCAGATTCGATTGGAATCAGTGACTCCCGACCTCTGCGCCACGAGGAGGGCTCTTTGACGCTCATTTCAGCGAGGGAAATCCTGCCTTCGATTCGGTCGGCTTGTTTATACGCTTATAGGATTGAATCAAGGCCCCCTAAATCGTCGAGAGCGCTCGCGAAAGGCATTTCGAGATGGCGGAATAATTTTCAAGAGCAATTGGCTGCCTCGATTTATGGAAGACGGTTATCAAATTTTCCCTCCTCGTCATTTATTTCCAAAGGATCAGTTGCACAGAGCTTATCGAAATGAAGAAGACACAGATACGGCGTGCGTTATTATTTTACTAGGAATTTTAGAGACTGTTTAATTTCACATATTCGCCGTCAATATCCTATTTATCATTTAATAAAGCTTCAAAGATAAGATTCCGCACACTTGAATCGAACTTTTGACGACAGGGTGGATAGTAAAAACGCGTGATGATATTTCTCCGATGGTAAATTTATTCATTCCAGGGTATCACTCTTTCATGAGAAAATGCTATGATGTACTATACCAAAAACAAGACCGAAAGCAAGAAAAAAAAAAAAAAGATCAACCATGGTCTTGATAGTGATGGCCAAAATCGGTCTTGATCTTGCAAAATTTGCAAAACCAGGGCCAAAGCGTGACTATCATTGCAGGACTTAGACTAAGAATATGACTCGATCGTGCAAGATCAAGACTCGGGTATGAGAAATCAAGAGCAAGTCTACCATTGTCTTGGACTTACATTTGCTCGTCACTGATAGTTAAGACTTCCTGAAATTCTCGAAGATAGGAGATACCTCTCCATCTAACCTCCCCTGGACCCTATGTGCGTCTCCTTCATTTTGATAAGCTCTATGATAACAATTAATATGCGTGTACTTACTCGGTGTAAAGTTCGCGGGCCTGTTCCCAAAGTCGAGGCAACTTTCGTAGAACTGTCCCAATTTGTAGAAGGCACCGGTCATCTTGCCCGTCTCGTTAGCCAGCATTTCTGAAAAGAGAAAGAAAAAATGATTAGGGTACCTTCTGAGTCTAATCATCCGCGCAATAGTGACTTGGGAGGTATAGCCATTTTTTAATCGCCGCACCGAGAGAAAAATCCAGATTAATTAACTATTTTCTAAGCCGATTTAAAAGTCCCAAAAGGACTTGGATACGCTTTACGGTGAAATTAACTTTCTCACGGAACTAAGAACTATAACGAACATTATTACAGATTATTATTTTAGATAGTAAAAATGGCACATCATTGTTGTCAATCTAACCGATGTATCATTGTAAATTTTACGCGCTCAGATAGTATTCAGATTCTATTAATTAATAACTCGATCTCCGAAAATAATCTTTCGTAATTACTGTTCATCTATTAAAAACTATTTGCAACTACTAATTCATAGTAAATCGAACAATAAATTGCGTTCCTTTAACTGGAATGGGTCTAACGGCGTCGAATTGTTCATTTTACCAGTTCATTATCTCTCAGTGCGTTTCGAATAATTGCCTCCTTGTTCCATTGTCTTTGGGCTGAATATTTGTTTGCAATCCGTCGATAAACTCGCGTGTAAACAACGCTCGATCGAAAATTTGAAACACGTTGAAAGCCCCAACAGGATGAAGTAATCCGGACAACAAGCGGCTTACTCCCCGTAAATCCATAATCGATTGTATTATCAAACTTTACAGCCTACCGAGTAATAAAACTAGCGATAAAAGTCAATGTAAAAAAATGTAAAAAAATGGAAATCATTCCGGAAAAGGACGAAACGCTTCCTCGATAGAAAGTACCTCGGTACAATTTTTTTTTTTTTCTATCAAAAAGAGGAAAGTAAAGCTTTCATCAATTTTCCAGCTACTTGGAGAAGAATCATGAAGTCGGATTCTATTCTGTTAAAAAGAAGAAAAAAAAGGGGGGGAAGGTTACTAAAAAATAAAGTCAGATTTTTTGCATTTTTTTCATTCGTCTGACTCCCAAAAATGACGTCACGAAGAAAGGGAAAGAAAGAAGTTCATTCAGCCAATGGACGGGACACACTTCCCCAACAGAAGGCAGTAAAGTTCCTTTTCGTCACCGTGCAACTTTCCCAGAAACAGAAAACTGAAACTTCCATCGACTTTCGAGTTCCTTCGAGAAAGTAGAAATAGAGTCATGGATTTTATTCGGGCAAAAGGAGGAAAGGCGTCCCCGAAAAAAGGAGTCAGATTTCCTGCATCCTTTCGCGAGTCTCGCTCGCGAAACTATCGTCACAGATTTCATTCAGCCGAAAGACGAGAAAAAGCATTTCGCAATTGTCTGAGAAGATTTCTGCCGCTTCGCGACAATCCCGCGAATGTACACACATAAATAGAAAACTTAAACTTCCGTCAACTTTCCAGCTTCTCGAGGAAAAAAAAAAATAAGAAGAAGGAGTCATAAATTTTGGTCGGCCAAAAGGACGATTCTTGTCCCTGCACGAGAAAACAATCGAGTGAAGTCATCGGCTTATAAATTCAAATGCAAATCGAAGTGTCCAAAATGTTCATCATTTTTCTCTCCGTCAATAACTTGTAAAGATTTTCCAAAGGCAACCAATAAAAACGGGGAACGATTAAACGGCAATGCTTTAATTGTGAGTGAAGTCATCGGCTTATAAATTCAAATGCAAATCGAAGTGTCCAAAATGTTCATCATTTTTCTCTCCGTCAATAACTTGTAAAGATTTTCCAACGGCAACTAATAAAAACGGGGAACGATTAAACGGCAAGGCTTTAATTGTGAGTGAAATCATCGGCTTATAAATACAAATGCAAATCGAAGTGTCCAAAATGTTCATCATTTTTCTCTCCGTCAATAACTTGTAAAGATTTTCCAACGGCAACTAATAAGAACGGGGAACGATTAAACGGCAAGGCTTTAATTGTGAGTGAAGTCATCGGCTTATAAATTCAAATGCAAATTGAAGTCTCCAAAATGTTCATCATTTTTCACACCGTCAATAACTTGTAAAGATTTTCCAACGGCAACCAATAAGAACGGGGAACGATTAGACGGCAAGGCTTTAATTCCCCATTGTAAAGTGCACCGAGGAGGAGTAAAAAGTAAGCAGGAGGAAATGAAATAGTTGGCAAGTGTCGCGATCCCCCATTCCCTGCAATTTACTCGTTTGTTTGCCAAGACAGGGCGATTTGCGAGACTCTTTGACGTTATGAATGGCACCTCGCCAGTTAAGCTGTTTTCTATACCGGCCGGCAACTTTTCACCGGTGCGAACTGAAAATAAACCTGGAAGCAAGAGGCAAATGGAACAAAAGTGGAAACAACAATCGGTCGAGCCCCCTTCCGTCCTTTGCCGTGCAATTTATTCGCCCGCTCGCTAAATCTCGGCATACCGTTCGCGAGGACATTTGCAACTACGAAAGCCATTTTATCGCCATTAAATTCATACTTTGTATCAATCGTCGATTCTTCAGGCGACACGCTCCGAATCGAAGGATAAGCGTATAAATAAAATCCGTACGTACTCGCGGTATTTGCAAAAATTGCGCGATACAATGTACTTTTATTATCTGCAGCGAAATTCATTTCGGTAACAGATTCCAACAAATCGTTAGACAGTTTAAGTGATAGGCGTAACATGTAATATTTAAAAAATTATAAGAATAGGTTTCTCGTGCATCTATGCCGGACATTGGACAAAAATGAAATACTAATAACGCGGGAGTCATATGAAATTCGCCTTTGAAATGTCCCACGACTAGAAAGAAGTATTTCTCGTGTCCTTGCACATGTCTTTGCATCAAAAATGATATTTCGTCAAATTAAGAAAAATGATATACCATCAAATTAACAAAAATGAAATACTAATAACGCGCAAATCATATGAAATTCGCTTCTGAAAAATCCCACGACTAGAAAGAAGTATTTCTCGTGTCCTTGCACATGCCCTTTCATCAAAAATGATATTTCATCAAACTAAGAAAAATGATATACCATCAAATTAACAAAAATGAAATACTAATAACGCGCAAATCATATGAAATTCGCTTCTAAAAAATCCCACGACTCGAAAGAAGTATTTCTCGTGTCCATGCATCAAAAATGACATTTCATCAAACTAACAAAAATAAAATAGTAATAATGCTGAGATCATATGAAATTCGCCTTTGAACTGTCCCACGACTCAAAAAAAGTATTTCTCGTGTCCATGCATCAAAAATGACATTTCATCAAACTAACAAAAATAAAATACTAATAATGCGGAGATCATATGAAATTCGCCTTTTAACTGTTCCAGGACTCGAAAGACGTATTTCCCGTGTCCTTGCACCCGCTCATGCGCATTTCGCAAAGGCCGACAATTTTTCATTGACCCGCCGACAAGCGACAGGGTCATCGGCGGAGCTCTTTGCTCCGTGAATGGCACTTCTCTACTGGAGTTCCTTTTTGTGTCAGGCTGCAAACCTTCCCCGAAGCCGAACGATCGGCCCTGTATGTGGAGCAACAGTCGCAGGACAGGGGTGCATGGCACGCTTTTCCGTCTGCATATATCGATTGACTGTGAATTATTTATACCCTCGCTTGGTCCGCCGATACTGGCCAGTGTCCACGAACACGTAGGACCCCCCATTTTCCCCGACTTACGTATGCACATCGGAAGTCGATGCATCTCACTTCTCTCCGTCAACCCTTTCAAATGCTCCCCCCAGTCCTGGATTAAATCCCCCAGAATTTAATTTCCGGCCCCTTCGCTCATCGTCTAAAGAATTTTCCCCTATTTTACGAATCTTTCATGTCCGCCAAAAATCTTTCACCCTTAACCCTTTTTAATTATGGCGAAGTCGTACGGTGCGATGCACCTGTACGTACAGCTCGGCCGCGGAGGGTTAATATTTCACATTTCATATTTCATATGAATACGATATTCATTTGTCGTTTTGAATACATGGGAACGAAGGGGGCCCACCATACTGGCGTTTCGTAATTAAGGGGTTAATTAATAGAAACAAGGGGGGGAAAAAAAATCCCCCGAGTACGCGCAATTCTCCTTTCACAGATTCCTGCTTCATGAGTTTTGATTTTAATTAACTTTCTGACGTACGCGCGGATAAACATTTCGTTGAATCGATATCATATTGTTATGGCTCGGCCATAGAATTATTATACAGAGAACCGAATACAATTGGTAGGCAAGATGGAATTTATCGGTTAATAACTTTTCTCGCTGATTACGGTCAAGTATTGTGGGAGAATGAATTATGTCATAAATTGTTATGTGACGTGACGTAGGGTTAAAAAATGGACTCCTCGTGTCCTTTGTTCTTCGGGAAGGGTCTAAAGTATTTCGGGAAGGTATTTCTACTTCTTCTCGGATTAGACGTGTAACTCCCATTCATTGGCGTGCACTCCGGTTGTGCACTTCGAAGAGTACATGCACTTCGAAGTACATGCCCTCCGATGTACATGCACTCCGATGTACATGCACTCCGGTTTCGAGGCGTCCCATCGACCGGCGACAAACCGACCAGCGAGGAGATGAACAGTGCACGGTTTTCGGGAAAAAAAATGCGACACAACAATGCAGATCCATTAACAAATGACCAGAAAACGGGAAAACAACCAAACAAAGTATTCGCTTGTACTCGAAGTTAAGTCGGAAAAAACGAATTCTCTCCTTTTACATATTGCTTTTTCCACGATTCTTTTGGATACAAATATTGAAGGACTTTCGGACAGATTTCAGAAGTTCCAAAACTTATGAAGAATTGACGAAATATGAACGCTAAAAAATGAAAAACTGCAATAAAAACGTACTCGAACAGGGGAAAATTCAGAAGTGGAAATTTTTGAGAAACAGGGAAGAATTCTTACATGTCCCTAAGGAGGAACGCGATGCTCCTGAGATTTCATAAAAAAAAAATTCTTTCATAGCCCAGACTAGAATCAAAATCACATTTTTTTTTTCTTATGAAAAATTAAATTTCACGAGAATCGCGTTATTCTCAGGGCCTCCGTAAT